GAAGCTATTTAATCCATACATTATGTTAATGGTAACGAGGGATCTAGACAAGCCCGATAAATGACTTTGAAGCTGTTAGGATTAGACATATTGTTGGGTTTTTTCAAAGTCACGTTTCCATCTGAACCGTCAGGAGACCATGCCTTTGCGTGACATATAGTCTTATGCGTCGTGTGATCCGTTGAGCTGTAACGAAGTGTGTGTCAGTGTGGCACTCTGGGTCTCTCATACCAGGCGGAGGTTAGACTAACAGAGTCTAGTGCCCCTCTTCCCAAGTTAGGAGGTGGAACATGCGTGGCACGCTTTTTCCTTAAGTTAGACTGCCCTATTAGTTTTGAGTCAAATACGGCTATCATGTGATCAGGCTTTTGTGCCACAATCGACACTTTCCAGGTTGCTGATTCTAGGCAGCACACATAACAATGAAATGCATAAACAGAAATAATTTCATGCCACATCAGCCGTCGAGTGTCATCAGCAGCAGCTTCCTGCAGACAGTAAGGCGGGTAAGCAAAAATAGACTGACGTCTCTCATATGTGTTCGTCATCTTTAATTACACTACCTTTCCATTTAACCAGCACTCGCTATTAGGCGTGTCCATCTTGAGCCGAAGGAAGCCACCGCTTACACATAACCTTTCATGTCCGTTTCCCAGACTTTGCTCACAAGTTTTTATTGCGAGCTTGAATATGTGAACCCTTGAGCAAGTCCGGCAGCAAGTAGTCATTGGTGATTGATTCACCTCTCAAACCCGAATACAACATACAAGTACGAAAACCAAGCTTATGGCAAAATAACTTTCCAGACACTGCGGACTAAGAACTTCACAGAAAGCGCCATCAAGGCACGAGCTTACTGGAAACGTCCAAAACCAGATCAACAAGCTAAGATGTAGCCTGAATAATGGCCGATCGTAACGCCATACTTGATCGAAAGCTTTCAAAAATTTGGAGTATACTAATTTAGTTTTACGGAAAAAGTCCGTGATCATACATGTGTGACACGTAGGTCGGTAGGTCGCCTGTAGATTGAGGGTGCCCAAGCCTGTTAGAGATCGTCCAGGAGGCTATTGTTTTCAGATCACTGGCACAAGTTGATCATAGAACTCTGAAACATCTGAATGACTCACTAAGGTAACGGTTGGGAAACGCTTCACATGTTCCAGAAACATGCGCTAACATGAAGCCGCTGTTGTGGAAGATCCTTTCACTGTCTTCCCGTGAAGGAAATACCTCCACAAATGCGGGGAGGCTAGATCAGCTGTTAGACACTCTAGCCTCGTTAACTGATGGTCGCACTAAACCGTGGGTACAACTCAACAACATCGAAAACATAAGGTGCCCGTGAACTGGGTTGATATTATTTTCGTAATCCAACGGTTCTAATGACGGTGCTGTCCAGCAGCAGATTCCACGCTGCCTTGCAGGTGGCACTTGGTAGTGCAAAGGCTGAAGATGCGAAAAGTTCACCAGTGAAGTCGGAATGTGCTCACTTGTGATATTTGATTGAGGGGGAGTTGAGTGAGTCACCATCACCAAATTAGAAAGAACAATTTTGATCCGTAAATATTGGAAGCCAGAAGAACAACGTTCGAGGGAGAATAGGTAAAAAGACTAATGGATAGGAAAAAGTGTAGGCAAGAATCTCACCGCTAGAATGGAATACCGGTTTGAAGCCACAAAAGTGTCAAACGGTGTCAGTTGATTTTGGCATCACTTGTCTTTGAAGTCCACTTCGAAAACAGATTGTGGCATCTGACTGGCCCGCTAGGATATTTGTCAACGTCGTTACAGTATAGCAAAGATCACCAAACACGCAAAATAATGGCACCAGAAAACGGACGTTCGTGACAAACCGCTTGTAAAAATTGGCACTTCTGTTCTGAACTGAAGACCTGGTTCACGATGTTCACATACGGTGTCTAGTGCTTGAGGAAGCAAACAGAAGACAAACCGGATGTGTGGGCGAGGGCTGCAAGTAGCGAGATCGACAGAGGACTGCGGTGAAGCAGTGTGTAATATTAGACGAATTTTGGCTCAGGTGTAACAGTGTTTTATAGTTTCGCAGCTTTGATTCACTCGGGAGGAGCAAAGGATTGTATTGTCCTAAAAGAACGAGCACCAGGAGCATCTGGGTCTAAATCACAGGCGTAGCGGTAATCGAGCAAGTTCTTTACTGAACCACTCAACCTAACTAGAACAAGTCTATTATTGCAAAGGTACCGGGTGCACAGCGATCGGTGTATTCGAGCAGGTTCTTTTTGGGTGGCACGATGAAAAAATGTTTACAGACTACAAATATGGTCTCAGATAGTGTTTCCACATCAAAATGTGGTGCCACGAATGCTAAGACGTCCCAAATGAGGTCAACCAGTCATTTCGTCGATCACGGATTGGGCGATTTACGCAGCTCCTTTCTGTATGGCTTTGATGAATTGTCCCCAGTCGTTTCGGCCTACTGTACCAAGATTAGTAGGGAAGAATTAACAGTACAAACTTCGGGACTGATAGTGAACTCAGGCAAAGAAAAAAATCTTGGACCTCAGGATGCTTGATTGCCTTTACTTGGATCTCAGTCTTCGATGCTTAAATTACAAGATTTCTTCTGCGGGTGATTAAGCCCTGCTAGACATCCAAAAAAGCGCGTAACCGACAGTTCATGAGGAGGACTTCACCCTTCAGTAACGGGAGTGAAAACTTTCCACTAGTTAGTCGAGGGTGGCTTGTCTACTGTAAATATGCATTCAGATAGACTAATTGACATGTAGCGTTAAGTTCACTAGATGCCCGGAAAACCAACTCGCCTAATGGGATACCTTTCTAGGCTGTGTTAAACAGACGAGAAGCACCTTAAGTTTGCTCCATCCGTGTTGGATATCAACACACGCACGTCGGCCTCAAGCCTCGAAGAAGCTTCAAAACTTAACATTACATATTGAGGATTTTACCATTGGGTCATAAGTAGCTGACCCGCAGTGAGAATGGAATATAAAATCATAATCGTGCCTCCTGGAATGATCAGATAATCGCAGGTGAAACTATAAAAGATGGGACAGTGTATTGAATTGTGATCATGGATACTAAAACAAAGGACGAATTCGTGAACTCACAAGAAACAAATTGGCAACATATCGAAAAGAATCTGAATCCGAAACATCATACACAAGGCAGGCGACATCTGCAGAAAGAGCTTCGCCAGCTGTCATCTGTTCGCCACCAGCTGCTCCAATCTCATGCATAATCAGCGTTCTTTGCTGCCCATAGACTTGGATTCCTGTGGCCGCCGCCCAACCACAAGAGCGTCCTGATAACCCACCAACGGCGAGGGCCCCC